AAAAAAAATCCTTTCATCCTCAATTGTGTAAATCGAAAAACATGGCAAATAGAGAAACCCAGAACTTTGAGTCCCCCGTTATCTTTCAATTTCCCTGTAAGAATGCATCTGTCATTGGGTTTCTCAACCTCAGCCCTGCTGATGTTTTGGGCTGGATAATTATTTGCTTGTATGGGGGAGGGGAGATTGTACTGTGCATTGTAGGATGTTTAGCCACATCCCTGGTCTCTGCCCACATCACTGCCCCCTCCTCAAGTTGTGACAACCAGAAATGTTTCTGGTTTCTGGTTGTCACACTTTCTGATTGCCACTGCCAAATGTTCCCAGTAGAGAACCACTATGTTAGATGATGATACTTTATTTCTGTCATCTAAGTATGTCCAAATCCTGGTGTTTGTGGAAAGGCGATTTATTTAAAACAAGTTTACTTAGAAGTTTATTTAAAATAAGTTTAAAAGAAGTTTATTTAAAAATAAGTTTAAAAGAGGTTTATTTAAAATAAGTCTACTCAGAAGTAAAGCTGGTAGAGTACAGCCCAGCATTAGTCAGCTGTATTAGTTTGCTAGGACTGTCATAACAAAGTACCATGTACTGAGTGGCTTAAACAACAGAAATTTATTTTCTCATTGTTCTGGAGGCTGAAAGTCTGAAATCAAGCCTCAACAGGGTTGGCCTCTCTCCCGGGCTTATAGATGGCTACCTTCCTGTTCACGTAGTGTGCTCTCTCTACACCTGAGACCTATTAAATAGTATCTTCTTGTAAGGACACTGGTCAGATAAAGGTCCACACTAATGACCTCATTTCAATTTAATCACCTCTTTGAAGACCTTATGTCCAAATACAGTTACATTGAGTTACTGGGGATTAGAACGTGAACATACGAATTTTGTGGGGGACACAATTCAGCCCATTAACATTGAGTTTAAGTCTTTTCTCCCCTCCCTCCATTCCTTCCTTTCTGTGTGTATTGAACACCTATTATGTGCCAGACATTCAGCTAAGTGGGGGTAATGGTAAGCAACAAACATAGTCTCTGCCCGGTAAGGTTTACAGTGAGGTAGGACAGACAGATATTTAGAGTAATAACAAGTGCCGGCCAGGCATGGTGGCTCATGCCTGTAATCCCAGCACTTTGGGAGGCTGAGGCGGGCAGATCACCTGAGGTCAGGAGTTCGAGACCAGCCTGGTCAAGATGGTGAAACCCCCGTCTCTACTAAAAATACAAAAATTAGTCGGGTGTGGTGATGGGCACCTGTAATCCCAGCTACTCGGGAGGCTGAGGCAGGAGTATAGCTTGAATCTGGGAGGCAGAGGTTGCAGTGAGCGGAGATTACGCTACTGCACTCCAGCCTGAGCCACAGAGCGAGACTCCGTCTCAACAAAAAACCACAGTGCCATGCAAATATTATGCTTTGGTAATGGATGACGGGAAAGCCTTGCCCTTCCCATCAGGTTCCCAACCCAGCTGGGCAAATGCAAGGGCTGCGTTATGAGCTAACTGGCTGGGCGTGGTGGCTCACGCCTGTAATCCCAGCACTTTGGGAGGCCGACGCGGGCGCGGGTTGAGGTCACGAGTTCAAGACCAGCCTGGCTAACATGGCGAAACGAATACAAAAATTAGCCGGGCGTGGTGGCACATGCCTGTAATCCCAGCTACTCAGGAGGCTGAGGCAGGAGAATCGCTTGAGCCGGGGAGGCGGAGGCTGCAGTGAGCCGAGATCGTGCCACTGCGCTCCAGCCTGGGCGATGGAGCGAGACTCCGTGTTAATAAAAAAAATAATTAAAAAAAAAAAATTGAGCTAACCATGAGGTTAATGAGTCAGCCACTTGTCAAACAGGGAGACGCGCGTTTGCTACAAAGCAGCAGAGGTCTGGCCTTAGCCAGCAGCGGGCGCCACCTCAAGCCGCCCTTTTCTATGACGCACAGGCCCTCCCCATCCCTTCCTGGCTCCGCCTTTTCCCTGCTTGTAGCCCCGCCCCTCGCATGCTCTCCGGCTTGCTGCGCACCCTCCAAGAACTCGTCTCTCTCGGCTCTAACAATGGGGGGCGAGGGGGAGGTCCGTCAGCCACGCCTGCGCCATAAAGCCTAGGGGCGGGCCCAGCCGGCGGTGGGAGGCGGGGAAAAGCGACGCAACCAGCAGCGACGCCATTTGCTGCTGCCGAGCGTGGGCGCAGGCGGATCTCTTAAGACCTAGGTCGCGAGCCTCTCCCGCGCACGCTGCCTGGCCTCCAGCACCTGCTTTATCCTGCGCGCTCTCTCGTGTCGCCCCTCGGAGCAGCAGCCGCCGCGACCGCCGCCACCCGGAAAGAAGTCAGAGACGCCGCGAGGTCGCTGCCACCGCCATGCCCAAGAATAAAGGTAATGTCGCCTGGACCCCCGGACCAAGGCTCTACTCGGCAGCGTCTCCCAGGTCCTGCCCGTGGATTGCAGGTCACCCAGGCCGCAGTGACCTTTTTTCCTTCCCGGCCTGTCTGCCCGCGCCTGGGCGCCCCGCACCCGACTCTGAGCTCGGGAGAGGATCTGGGAAGTTAACTCCTGTTGCCCAGTTTGGCCACATTGGGGTGGAGCCGACGCCATTTTTGTAGGGCCTCCTGCGGGAGAATGTGGGCTTTTTCTCCTGTTTCGCGCCAGACTGACCGCGACTTGGTGGGGACGGTGGTGGGAACCCTCCCCGGGGCGGCCTGGGCTTAGTAGATAGGCCCTTTGGCCTTCCCGGGCACGAAGGGTTAATCCCTGGAAGCCGTACTGAACTTTGAGTGATGCCTGCATTCGAGAGCACCAGGTACTCTTGCATGGGTTTCTTAATGGACAGTTGTTCAGTATTGTTGAGGCTACTCGCTGTTCCTTGTGAACAGTGGGTGAAACCTTGATACATTTCTGAGGTCCATCTCTAGAGATTTACTCTCTCCATCCGTTTACAGGGCTTATTTTTGTTTGCAGAAGACTTTTCCATATTTAGCCAAGTTTTTTGCTTTTGCTTCAGATCATGCATATGTTGTGAGAATACAGACCTTTAAGTTTCCTCCTTTCTGAGGCTAAGCCTTCACAAATGATCAGACTTGAGGATAACTTTATTTGGGATTTCCAAAACGGAAGGCCTAATCTAAAAATAAAAATAAAATAAAAATAAAATAAAAAAAAAAAAAAGCAGAACACTCCTAAATAAATTACTTTTAGAAATTTACATTGTTCCTGTCATTTTTAATAGCCTTATAATTTGTTGAAGAAAAATGTGCAAATAGATACAGGGAAACTACTGTATTTTCCTACAGGAGAGGAGCATATTTCATAGTCCATAAGTAGTCTCCTTTGACTATTCATTCTTAGGAATCCCTCCCCTGACGCAGGCCTACTTCTGCTCTCTTTCCTACTTGACAGCTGGCTCTAGGGATTCTACCTCATTTCCTCTTTGTAGCCGTCACTTATTACTTTATCCCTTAGGGTACTTGGTCGAGATTCTGTGCACAAGTTGGTGTAGTCCTCTCAGGGCACTCCACCTTGCTGCCTTTAGAGATCAAACTTGCAGGTCCTTTGTGTAGCAAGGATTTTCACTGCTCATGATTTCGGAAAAGATGGAATTAGAAACAAAAAATTTTTAAAGCCTTACTGTTTTCTTCCATATAATCCTTTATTCTCTCTGAGGTGGTAAGTGGATCACTGCCATCTTATTCTCACCTTTATTTCTAGTAATAAGATTCCAATTCCCCCACTAAACTGTAAACTCTAAAAGGCAGGAATAGTATCTGTCTTAATCACATTGGATGCTGACACTTCACACTTAGTAGATGCTCAATAAATATTTGTTGGTTTAAGTCATCTTCCTCCTGTCGACTCCACCCTTAGGTAAATAATAGGTTCTGCTTTGGTTCCAAGAGAATAGGACTTCTACATTAAATCACATCTAGTTCACTAGCCTCATGTCTTGCTTAAGAAGGAGGCTATCTGGGAATTTCTCTAAAACAACTCTGGTTTAAAGAATGTTGATGTCATTTTAATTTACACTCAGACCTAGTCTCATTCATTCAAAGAGAATTTAAAGAACATCCCATTACATGGCAATAAAATATAGAGGAGAATGATCAGGGTATGCTTAATTCTGATAAGTTAACAAGTACCAAATCTTTTCTTAAATAACATTTGAGGCATACAAAAAATATAGCTAACATAGTGAACCTGGGAATCCAGTACTCTGAATTTAAGAATTACAGTGCAAGGCTGGGCGCGGTGGCTCAAGCCTGTAATCCCAGCACTTTGGGAGGCCGAGGCGGGTGGATCACGAGGTCAAGAGATCGAGACCATCCTGGTCAACATGGCGAAACCCCGTCTCTACTAAAAATACAAAA